CACTTCAACAAAAAACTGGATGATAAGATCACAGAGGTTCTTCCTGACTTTGGGATGAGATTTTCCGTTCTTCCCACATTGGCACACTTGTCTTACAAATGAATCTCAGGGTATTCAGTATATAAGGGTATTGAGACACAGAAAAACCAAGGAGGATTGCATACCAGGTATTCTCAAAAAATGTGTGACAAAAGAATAGAGGAATAAAAGAACAGGAATCTGTGAATGCAAAATTCTCCTCTATAGTATAGTTTATGCAGTTAGTTGCTTGTCTCAGGGAAGAGTGGATATACAATTCTGCCATGTCAAAATTATAGTATTTGTGAACATAGCAGCTTGTTACTAACAGGTACATATAGCAAAGTGTCACTGAGAATCTGCTGAAGGGTTTACATGGAATTGAAATAAGACTTTCAAGCGCTGTGGCCACATTAAGGCAAAATTAGAAGGCAAACCCCACCACTGCAAGGTTTTCCAGGTTGTAAGCAACCTATGCCTTCCAGTAAGCAGTGATTTCTGTTTCTGATTACGTTGGCAATGGCTTTACCTAGACTGAAAATATGTTATCTATAGTCTTATAAGTGCTACTGCCAACTAAAACCCCAAATTTAGGTTAATGCTGCATTCTCCTCTTGGTTTAGGAAAAAAGCTCCTAGAGCTTTGAAAGGAAAATACTTTTATCAACTCTTGTATATCCTTTCTCTGTATCTGTACATATATAGAGCTATATTGTACTATGTTATAGTATGGCTGCTTTTATTTTTTCCTTCACATGTCACATTTCCTTCAGTGATGTGTTTCCTGAACTTATCTCTGACTTATTTTTGCTTTTGAGTCCAAACTTAAATTCAGATTTAGACTTATGTGTGATTCTCAAGCAAGACATACAACATCAGTTTTCCTACTTACCTTTTTCTGCAAAGAGAAGGGGGTAAATTTAGCATCTTTCATATTTATGCAGCCCCAAAATTACTTAAATGTTTAGTGTGCTTTCTCAGGAAGACTTTCTGAACAACAAAAGAGAAAAGATATCATAGAAGAGAGAACAGCAGAAAAGAGAATTTTCCCCTCTCCTTTCTTAGTACTGATTTTAGCAGTAAAAATGTATGCTAAACCCACTAAACAGAAAGATACAGCAGTAATAACAGGACAGTATTAATGGGGATCAGTTTGATGCAATATGTTGCATTAATTGGGAAACCGCCCCATACTAGGTTTCTGCTCCAATTTTTCTCTAGGACAGGCAGCCAGAATTACATCCAGTGCCTTTAGTGTTGCCCAATAACCATAAATCCTTCCAAGTCCTGTGTAAAATGCAGCTAGCCAGCTTTCTGAGGATCCTTCCTGTGCTGGGATTCTCAAGCAGCGAGAGTTACCACAACCATTGACCTTTGCAGAAAGTGTACTTGGGAGAGGTGGAGGTTGTGGTCAGCTGTGGCCCACATAGGTCTCCAATTCCTTCAGTGAACCTTCTGCCATCAGAGTCCTCCAGTTTCCACCATCAGGCCCAGCACTTGTGATCCCTTGCTCTAAAGGAACATCAAGTTCCTTTTAGCTATCATTTCCCTTAAGGTCCTTGTTCATCTGCCAACAGCCTTTATTGTATGTGATGACTTGTGTAAGGTCACAATTCATATGGTGAAAGTAACAACTTCATCAATAAGGCATGAAAAACTGATCAGACAAGCATTCTGGCTTCTATTTGTTCCTGTATGGTAAATTACATAGTGATGTGCAAGTAGAATGAAGAACAATGGAATTGGCATGATCAATTCTTTGATTCCTTAAGTGTGGCCTCCTTGCCTGTCACATTAGGGGTAATGATCAAAGAAGAAAGTTTAAAGTAAATGCAAAGAAGCAACTATTACATAAGCTCCTTTTAGCTACGTGCAAACTTCCCCCTCCTTTACTCAAACTACGTTTGTTCAGCAGAGTGTATAGCGTGTGATTTTTGTGAAAAAGGCCCACCAAACTAAAAAGTCCAGCTGCCAGCACAAACTCTGCACCTAACAATCAAATGGGCTCTTGCGTACCTGAGACACACAGCTGCAAGTAGGGGAAAAAAAGTGTAGCAACAAGAGTACTACAGTGAATATGAGTGCCATTCTTTGTGGTTCAATCTTTAAGTAGCACTTCCATTAGTTGGGTAAAATCACCTTATTATAAATGTTGGTTCAGCTTTGGTTTGAGTAATTCTGATTTGAATAAATCTGCACAGTTCTGCTTTGTGAGGACTCTATTTTACAAGGTTTCCTAAAATCAGTTTAATAATTTTGATGCAGTTTCTCTTCTACTCATACCTAGGTAACAAAACTGCTACTATATTCAATACTTTTGTGGACTGTCTTAACAAAGTCACAAAAGAGAAAATTGACATTGGAACTAGAAAATTTTACCAAGCATTCTTAGGCTTCTACAGAAGGGTTGGAAAAAAATATGTATAATAGGAATGCAGCCTTCACTGATTTTAAACTTCCAAGAGAAAAACTTCCAATTTCTTTTAAGAACTGTTTTAACTCATTGCATAAAGGTTTCATGCAATAATGGAGCCATGTAACACTATTCCAACTTCTTCAATAGATAAGCTGGCTCAATATTACTGTTTTAACTTTCTTCTCTAGGAACTTCCCTCATATACTACTAATATAACTTCCATTAAAGTATGCTTAGTTTTCTTCCAGTCAAAGAAAACTACAGCTTAATTTCAATTGTGCAAAGTGGGGCTTAACAAGTGAAATCACAATGCTGCCAGTCCAATATGGCACACATATCACAGTTGCAGAAGCTACCTTGGGTTTTATTTTTCCAAAATATTTTAGCCAGGATTTTCGGGAGCAAAGAAGGCCAGCTCACCCGTTCATGAGCTTAATCAATCTCACTCTGTCCATTCCTGGAATAGCTGAAGCTAGATGTTCTACATGCGGCCAAGCTTGAAGTTTGCCCACTGATACATTTTTGATCAAAAGGGAAAAAAGTATAATATTGTGGAAATGGTTGTATTTTGTTCTATCTACCTAGATATATTTGTAATGCTTTGTCCTGTGTACCTAGCTGCAACCATGCATAAGGTTTGCATTTTTTAGTTATAACAAAGGAATGTTGGAGTGTTTAACTAGACACATAGAAAGGTGTTCTTTGTTACAGTTCACTGAACTAACCCATCATGTTTGTGAATCATTAATGATACTGACTGCTGTGTAAATTTACTTGGGTTGTAAATCTATAAATGGCATGGGAAGATGCGGTAGAATGATTTTTCATACTTAGCTTTTAAATGAGAACATGGTTTTAAGGAACATGAAGGAAAAATATAAATTAACATTTTGGAAGAAGACATAGGAACCTTAAAAGAGATAACATTTTTCATTCTGTAAGATTAATTTTACCATTCTGCTTCTTGTAGTTCATTGCAGCAAGTGAGTATAGACAGCCATGCCCAAGTTGTCCACTTTAAGACTATCCATTATGGGAGAAAAAATTTAAAACTGCTTGTCAAGAAGTCATATTTAGAGCGGGTAACAGACACAGTCTAAAAATTAGGGAATTCAAAACATGTATGATACTTGGAGTTACAAAGTAATCCAAGGTAGGAAACAACAAGTCTGAAAGAGAAGCATTTTCTTGAGGATCATGGCAAGAATTTTCCTGAGGAACATGGTCTAGGAAAATAGTCAGTTTTATTTTCATATAGACATCCTCACTCTTATCTGCAAATATAAGGTATCGTGTAATTAGGTGCAGTAAGTACAAGTAGCTAAATATTCAGAATGGAAGAATTATGTTTATTTTTTTCCCCTGTTATTGAAGGATATTGCTGTACATAAAGTTTTATTGAAGTATTTTCCATTAGGGCAGAAATTATATAAATTCATTAATACAGTGGGCTTTGGCACAGTGGGCTTTGGTACATGGGACCAAATCATTTTTAATCACAGCTGTAATTAAAAATGCAATGAATTAACATCATCTCTCCCACCCCCCAAATTTTTATCTTGTAAGAATTTTTGATGTTGCAAAAAATAATTCTGTTCTGAAATAAGAAAACCCCAAACAACAACACTTTATCAAATGAAAAGTTTAGATAACTTTCATTCAGAAATTATTGTTCTTTGCAGGAATATACCTGGCACATAATGACATAATAATGACTATTTTTCTATCGGATAGTTTTCAGGACATCATGATACACTGGTCCAGCTCAAGCACACAGGAAAAAGCACATGGCTTTGAGATATATTGAGCCATGTTACTTTCCACTGCATGTGGAACTTGTATACTTCTTGTATATTCTCATTTTAATAGCTCTCCATTAAAAAAAAAAAAATTGGAACAACCAATTTAGCAACTCTCAGTTCTTCATGGTAGCTTTTAGAACTCACTAACAACATTTGCTAAACCATGGATCATATTTCCTATATTAAATTAAGATGCAGGGTAAATAAGACTGCACTGGGCAAAGCATATTTTTAGCAAAACTCTATGGGATCACATATGTAAGTGTCAGCAACTGTGTGCTTAGTAGTTTTTTATCTGCTCATGGTTGACACAGAGCCAACCATGTCAATAATTTCATAGTAAGATCAACTAGGACCATTATTTTCAAAGGTCTCTTTACAGTCCTGTAACAGGATTTTTCTGCACTCAATTATTTTATTTTGTATTTTTGATTTCTAGCCCAATATGTGGGTGTGGTGTGAAGTAACTTCTTATCTCCTAAGCATGTTGAGTTTTCAGGATCTATTTTGGACATAAGCAAGCATCAACTTCTGTCTCGGCCTTTTATTTTCATATTGTCTAATGCAGTTTAAAAAATACTCTGAAAAAATTTAATTGCTTGAGTACATTAGAAGCAATAACCAAAAAAGCAAAATACCTTGATATGTTGTACTGTCAAATCACATGACCAACGAAGCCCATAAAAATTGAAAATTATCACAGCACAAAAATAGAATTAAATTTTGTTCTTTTATTTGTGTCTCCACCCAGGGTGTAAACACACATCCAGGCATTCATTTATCTCTACAAATCTCTAGCCTCACCAAAATAATAATTAAATCCAGACTTAAAACTCTGAGTTAAGTGAATTTTTTTGAGAAATCTCCAAGAGTTTGTTTCCTATTTATGTTTCTAATTCTATAAACCCATACAAATACTAGTAGTTTTATGGTGAAGAACAGTGCCTGGAGCAGTTCTCTTTAAAGGCATCTCACAATAATAGGTTCTACAGGTAATGTAATGGAGTTACAATTTTCCAGTTTTATTTTGTACCATGCACACACACCTTTCACTTTTACCTTTTACATAAAACAGAATGTTATGAAACAGGACAAAAACAACTTATGATTGTATGAAAAATAACTGTAAAAAATCACAAAACTACACATACTAGTAAAGCAAAAGGTGTAACTCTTTTGAATTTTTGTTTTTTTCATGATGTGCAACAGACATTTCTTTAGAGCAAGATATATCAGCCAGATATACAGTATGGCACATTAAGATCATATGTATATATGTAAGCATGTATAAATATGTAGATTACTCTGTAACCTTTAGGAAAAACATAATCCCACTTTCTCTCCTCACCAAAGTGCTTTGTGTAAAAACTATTACACAAGATGCTGTTTTCTGTACAGATGCTGCTTTCTGTACAGAACAAAAGGATTTCTTTTTCTTAAATAAAAACTCAGATAATTTTAACTTGTGGTTTTTTCTTTTGCTTTAACTGCTTCAAGGAATTACATATATATATACACATACAAAAAGCCCCAAACCAAGAACAAAATTTCAGACAAACAAGAAAAAAGTGCCGTTTAAAAATTCTGCTATAAAATGACACAGGGAAAACAGGGAATAAACAGTTAGAATGTAATTTTTATATTCATTCACATCTTTTCAAGAAAAGCTGAAAACCATATACAGTGTGAGAGATGGCCTCAGCACTGCCATTCTTCAGCATCTGGTAGTAGTAAACCACAATGCCTACATGTTTGTGTGTACACACACACAGAAAGGGAGCCTCCAATCTACACGTGCACTCTCATACACTTCCACTTGTACACATGCACTTTGAAACTGTATTTTAAACTCCAGTGTAGAACCATTTCTAATGCAGGTATAAATAGACCACTGAGTCGGGAAAGAGTTACATTGCATAAAAGAATAATTGTAAATAATTTATTTTGAATATTGTTTAATGTCTGTAGTCTAAAATAACTTCATCTCTTAGATATGAATCCCTTTAGAAAGTTAACAGTACAGCAAGTAGAATAACAACACAAAACTCACTGAGGCACAAGTATTTGCAAATAACTCAGTTATGCAGATAACCCACAAAATTGTATTTTTTCAAGCACCATTTTTGATTGTGACAAACAGGATTCCCTACTTAAATATCCAATATACATGAGATACAATGAGGCTTTTTATGCAATTGCCCTCAGCGATTAAATTGATGTCTTGAAGTCAGTCCAATTTCCAACTCCAAAGAGAATAATGAAATAATAGTGAGGAATCCTCTTTGTCTCTGAATGAGAAGTAAACAAAGGCCTACCTTTTTACAAACTGGTAGCCCATATTCATGTGCTTGATTTGACTGTTCTCTAGGGCCTTCTTTTTAAGATTAAGGCTCATGGAAAGTTGTAAATATATATATATATATGTATAATATGTATGTGAAAGAATGAATTAATTACTTGCAAAAGTTTCCTTTATTGAAGGTAACTGATGAACGCTCAAGTTGAAAATGCCCTTTTGGAATTCTGTGCTCCCACCTTCCCTTTGGTCAGCATGTTTCAAAATGGATAATTCCCCAACTCTACAGAACAACTTGTACATTCAGATACTAGAAAAAATATTTCAAGAAGTTTAAAAGTCAAGGTGGTACAGATCTGAAGATAGCAACAGTATTTCAGTTTTGTAAACAGCAATGGACAAACTCTGGACAACCATGTGGTTAAAAGAATTTTGAAGGATTTATATATAGGGAAGTATACAGGTACATGCATATGTCCACACATAGTCTGATCCTGCCCTTGCTGAATTTGGTGGAACAAAACACAATTCCATACATTTGAAATTGAAGTGTTCGTGAGACTAATTATTCCTATTGAAGTAAGTTACACTTGTGTGGTGACCACAGAATGGGCTTTAAGGCAGTATAAAATTAAAGCTCTATTAAAAAGCAAAATTTGCAGTCAATGCACATTATACAAAAGGACTGTCTGATTGCATGTGTATAGCTGTGAAGGATGCCTGGTGTCTTTTAATCCAATGCAAATCACATATGGTAACATCTAGACCTCTTAGTGAAAGCTGGACCAGAGGGACACATTCTCTTGTGATGTGAGAAGCAGAATATATAGGGGAAGAATTTAGCACAGAATTAGCTGCATTTTAATCCCTTCAGTTGTACTTCATTTATGTGCATGGTTTATCCATATATTCTATGTATCAGATGGAAACCACTCCATTAAATATTTAAGCAGATGACTGCTCATAAGAATATACTTCCTGAATACAAACCTCAAAAGATTGCCAGTGTTCACAAACACCTGGCCATAAATTAATCTATTCCACATAACTGCAGATTAAATTATGAACTGGACCCAAACTGGATTTAACAAGTCTCAAAAGTTTGCCAGGAAAAACAAAGGTTGTATAAACCTTTTTATTTTATCTTTTTGGAAGAGTTATTTCTGAAGCATAGTTATGGTCCAGTCTGCAAGGATGAACTTTTCTGCCCTTACTCTATCAGGTTATGAAAATATTATGATGTACACGACACAGTAAGAAGTCCACATAATGGATGAACGGGAATTAAAACCTAAAAACTCAGTCTTACTAATGTAAGAGCTGTTCTCAAGGCATCACAATGATGACATCTCCAAAGAAAAATACTAGTTTTAACTCATAACCTTGTATGTTTTATGAAGGACAACCTAATTTGCTTGCATCCTGGACTAAATTTGAGGACCTTGAGCCTGACATTGATCAGAAAAATCAAAACCACCAAACCAGTCCAGTTTTATCTTTCTAAGTAACCAGAGGAATCATAGTACACTTAAGAGTAGTTCTTTCTGAAAATGTGTTATGGAAAAATATTAGGACAACCAAAATTTAGTTGAATTAGTACAGACACCTTAAAAAAAAAAAAAAGAAAGTGGAATTTAAGGAAGAATCTTTCCCACAAAAGATTTTAAATCTTCCTGACAAAGACTATAGCACATACAGCAACAATGCTCTACCATCTAATTAAAAAGCAACTGAAAGTTAAAATGCATTTATGCTTATCTGGCAGATGTGCTAAATAGACACAAAGCCCACATAACTTCTTGTGTATTTAAACCACCTTTTTCTTGCTTAAAGGGTCAGAATTAATATTGGGAAAACAATAACAGCTGTACTGTGTGACTTAAAATAAAGAGGGAAGGAAAGGACACCTAGCCTGAGGCCTGTAAGAAATTCTCTACCAACAACCTATGATCCAAAAAGCCACACCAATGCCTCCAATAGGTAGTGCCTACATATACGTCTAACTGCTCTCCCTTTTGGAAACTGGCATGTGTTCCACTTTGGAACTATCATGTGCAGATAGGTTGTGCAAAAACTGTATGCTTTGAAATGTTTGTAGTATGCTCTGGTTTTGCTTTTCCTTTTTTGAAAAAGGAATTTTCTAAAGCTGTATTCTTCTGTAAGTGCAGCCATCCAGCTTGAAAGGATTACAGCCAACAACCAGTTTTCTTATTTGGTCTCTGAATTCCCTTTGAGAAATTAAAAGAAGAAATAATTTCAAAAGTATAGTTGCTGTACCACAGATGAGAAGAAAAGAAACAATTGCTAAGGTTTTGGCAAAGCTTGCTTTCTCCAAACATTCTCCTTCTCAGTTGGCTGCTTGATTAAATGAAGAATGCTTGCTAATTGCTTTTTTCCTCCCCATTATGTATGTATATCTAGTCATATCCCCATACATACATGGCAGTTTCATGGAGAGAAAAAGTTTGTAGGGAAATAACAGAAGGGCACGATGAAACAGAATCAAGTTCTTGTAACTAGATATACATTACTTTAGCCTTCAGTGTATACAGAAGAAAGCTGGCTGGAACAATGATCCACTGCATTTACTTGTAGGAAACTGCTGTCCTCTGGCATGCTGCAAGCGGAATCACCAAAGATACCTACAGACCCTGCAGGAAAGTCATCCACTGGGAGAAGAAACAAACAAACAAACAAAAAAAAGCCCCAGTTAATAAGTAGGATAAGTATATAATGAAGTATGTCCTAATACTTATGCACAGAACTGGAAATGGTTTTAAATAAAATACACAAATAAAATAAACAAGCCAACATATGTATGAAATTAATTACACAACTTACTGCTTACCAAGGGAGGAATTTTCAGTTGTCTCAGAAACAAGTCTGAAGTAGAGCAGATTTCATTGCAACTAACACCTCCCCATTTAATGGGTGTTAAAACTGTGATCATTTTAAAAATAAACTTCACACATGTTTAACAAATTTCATCATATTGAACACAGGATAAAAGACAAGAAAATATTGTAGAATATTGCCATAAAGTAGACCCTGGCACAGAAATTACTACCTTTTAAAAGTGACAATAGTAAGCCTAAGAATAACTTAGACACACTCCCATCTTTTGGATAACATGTTTACATACTGTGAGATTCCTCTTTGTAATTACAGGTGCACTGTATTTGCAATACACTTCTGAAGGACCAAGACATAAAAGGGACTTGAAAGCACAATAGATGTTAAGTGGATTCATCCTATGTGGAAGGACAGTAAAAGACCTGGGCATTAGTTGAGCACTAAGATTAGGCTCACTGTCTTGTACTGATCCTTTGCACACAGATCTTTCAGCCTTCCAAGCAGCATGCAAGCCCCTTAAGTACTTTTCATCTAGGGACAGACTAAGTTACATGCACATAGATGAGTGTGCATCCAGGCAGTTTTTGTCATGGAAACACGAATAAATGAAATTCAAGACTTACAAAAACCAAACATGCACCAAGCAAAATCAGTAGTTTGAATAATCTCAGGTCCCTGCCACAATATGTGGAATGGAGTGGAGTGGCTGCACAAATATCACAGAGGGCTCAATGGACTGCATTTCAGCTCCAATACACAAGCCAGAGACTGTCTAAGCCCCACAGGCTATAACCTTGAGAAGCCTTCAACAGTGCTCAGATGGCACACAGGCCGGTGGTTACTGTCACCTATGGCAAATTCCAGCCTCCAAACACCAACTGCTCCATGAAGGTCTGAAAACTATCTCCTCTTTGTAAAAAGTCAAATCTGTCATGACATGTCCCACCCAAATGCCAAATACACAGCTCATGCACATCTGCCAAAGTTCACAAACTCTACACCATCATACATGGAGTGACCAGCTGTTATTTACCTTTGATACCAGAATGATCTGAAAAACTTCCATGGAAAATGCCAAGCCCTCCCTGGCCTGCTGATGTGAGTGCTGAGCAGTCAACAGGAGGAGCCATATTGCAAGAAACACTGTCTTGTATGCTCTTCTGAGTGTCAGTATAATGTGGAGGGCAGAAAGTCTGAAGCTGCCCATAAAAACCTAGAATGAGAAGAAGGCCATCAGTAAAATAACTGGACAGAGATAAAAAGGATAGTATATGGAACCATGGCCATGAGAATGAAAAAAACCTCAACTGCCCTACCACCAGGTCTTCAATAACATTAAACAAATAAAGCAGTATTAATATGATGCTCCCTAAACTTCCTCAGGTTCCTGCTAGTTTCTAACACAATCTACTATATGGACGTCCTGATTCCACCATGGCTTGTGAGAGGCACTGACTGGCTAGAAGCTGAAACTTTTCAGGACATTTCTCCCTTTCCTGTGCAATCCTGTGTCTGAACTGGTACTCTCCAGAGTCACACTGTGCATCTGCCTGAAAATCTAAGATAATGCTAAATTCAAAAGGAAAGAAGATTATGCAAGTAAAGTCTGAATAAAATCCAAGGATCTATCACTGATGCCAAGACAGCTGGCTGATAGTAGGGTCATGCATAGAGATGCTGAGCAAAAATTTTTTATGATGGAAAGAGAGCACAGAAAAGTAGTGTAACTTTCCTACATACAAGTTCTTTTCACAATTAGGTGTCAATTGTCCATCTTTTAAAATAGAGAGTCATAAACAAGAAATAAGCATATGTGGTTCTCTTCCCCTCAGTTATTTAGCACTACTCTAAATGTCTTTGTGAGCATCTGCAGTGCATCAAGCCACAGTGCAGAGGTCTTAGAACTGGAACCCAGCAAAATCTCCTAACTTGGTGTCTTTATTCACACAGCGTCATGCCCAAGATATTCTACAATACAGCTGAATGTAGGATAACATGAAACCATATCCAGTTCAGCAGACCCTGACCATACTTGAGATATCTGTTAGGGAACTAACTGTACCATCAGTTTTCTGTGTTGTCATGCAGCACTGGAAAAACAACAAAAAAAGGCAAACAGGTTGGCTAAAAAATTTCCGGCAACAGAACATTTCAGCTGCAACTCTGGACTGTAAAATTTTGTCTCTTATTAAACTATTTAAAACACACACATGCACAAGGTTATATTAGCTGTGTTTCTTTGAATCAGTACACTACAGCCAATATTCATGATGTCACGGTACAGAAACAAACAGCTATTCTGACATGACAGCATAACCTGCCTAGGAAAGAGAAATATTTTTGAATATGATAGAAGTGTAAACTGTAAGAATTGTTTCTAAAAGTAAGAAGTTCTTGTTTTTTTATAACATAAAGAGTCTTGTTCTGGAGGCTCGTTCTAAAAAGCCCTGGTAGACAGCTCAGCTCAAATTCACTTGCACAGCTGTGGTCCACATACATTTCTAATAGTGTCCTTATCCTATTGAACTGTTGTGGACGAAGATTTCTTTATAGATATGTAATGAATGACTGCCACAATTATAATTTCCATATGGTAGAAAGTTTCTGATGGACATCAGAAACTTCCTCCTCAGTCATCTCTCTGCCTGTCACAAGAAAGAGAGAATAATTTCTCAAGAAAATCATTATAGTTGCCATTCAGAAATATATGCCATGCGTGAGTAGTCTTTGCTTCTATGGCATGTAAAATTCCAGCTGTCTTTGGTCTGAAATACTTCAAGATAGTGTTTCTTTGCAGAATATTTCTGCATGTCCATTAGGCAAATTACACAAACACCATGTAATCGTGTGGTACTACCTGGCTGTGAAGAACAAAAGGAAGAGAAAGAGTAAGAGAGAGGTCCGAGGCACAAACTGTACTAACAGACAGATTTGCAAATGTGGAAAAATAGAAATGTTTTTGTTTATTGAAATCTTATTATTTTTAATTTAAGATAGCTGTTACTAGTACACTTGTCTGTATAGAGGCACTAATATAACTAACTCATATAAGCTAACAATTTTTTTAAAGAAATGACAACTTTTTCTTTTCTTTAAATGAATACTTTGCCTTTTTTTTTTTTAATTTCTTCCATAACTCAGACAGCTCTGGTCATCAGCTTAACTCACAAAGACATGTAAGCAGAGTTACAGACACGATTTTAAAGAACAAACAGATTTCTAGTGCAAAAATGTTCACAGTATCAGATGCATCCAAAAGCAAGTCAGCTTTGCCCATGCCCAAAGAAGTTTTACCTTTACTTTTTAGTTTTAAAGTTTTACCTTTTACCTTTACTACACAGCACAATAAATTTTATCATGTGAAGAGAGAACTTCTGTTGCTGTTCTTTCCTTTCCTACCTAGCACATCTATTCTGGCTTGTGATGAAGAGCAAGCAAAACCATATTCTGGCATCTGCCTGAGGACTCTAGGTGCCTGTGTCCTCAGACACCTGAGAGTAGTTTTTCATGGCTGAAAAGAATCACCAGTACAATACAGGTGCTGGGCAAATTGTTCCAGATTTTCTGTCTACAAACACATATTACATTGGCGTACAACAGCATCTAGCTGGGAAGCTGTCATTCCAGTCTCCAAGTCAGGATAGTTTCAGATTTATGGAATGGCAATACAGTAAAAGATATTACAATCTAATGAAAGGAAAAGAAGAGCTTCACTTCTACAGCTCAGTGAGGCATCTAACATCAATTCTGAACATTCCATGCAGCAAAGGATATTGGGAATTTCACAAGAGCAAGAAAAGGCAATATTTAGTCAATTATGTAATATTAACTGAGGCAATAGAAAGCCCTCTCTGACATTACCGTGTATGTTGAAAATCACTCAGAACAAACAATGAAGGTTGAACTGTAGACAATATTCTTCCAAGGAAAAGACATTTCACAATACAAGTAGTCATTAGACACAAGGAGGCTGTCAGTCTTGGATGGCATAAATATTTCTCTCTAAAGAATAGGACTCTGAGATCACCATGATCTTTTAAGATGTTCAGGCTTTCAGAAACTGTGTCTGTTTAGAACTTGTTTTCTTCAAAAAGCTTTTGGGCAATGAAACTCTTTCTTCCTTGATAAAGCAAATTTATATGGAACTGACAAGTTTAAGCCTACATACTAAGGAAGATTGGTACCATTGTCTACTAGCAGATTGAGTTGAAGTAGCTATAGTTACAGCACTTGAAATTTTGAAAAGGTAGGTTATGAACTGCAGGAGGTAGAAATTAACAGAACTTCCCACAGCCACTTCCTGTATACATAATAGTATGGTGTGGAGATAACTCCATGGTGTTCTTCTACATTGTAGTGAATTGACCAAGGAAGACAGCAATCTTTGTATTGGTCCTGGGAAAACATAAACTCTTCAAACATCTGCTTTTGAGAGAGATAATTTAGGTAAGCCCTTAAGGCACATAGGACAAGGCTTTCAATGTAGTATATATAGGATGAGACAGCTGTGCTTAAGCTGGAGGGAGTACATTCTGACAAAATACCTTGTACAGTGACAACAGGTTACTTGATCTTCAAAAAAACATTTAACACCCACATTGTGGGTGTTGAATTGCACTGTATTGTATCTTTCAATGCAAAATAAAATTATTAAGAGTTCAGTCTACATTGCCTTCACACTAGTTTTAACTGCAAAATTGTTTAGAATTTGAACTTTGAGTTGCTATCTGTGTGCAAATAATTCCTGTCAGTAGTGTGTCTATTTTCAACATAAGCTTTCCTAGGAGAGTGAAGCAGACACAGTAATGATAACATGGGACAAAGTATTGTACAGGTTTAAGGTCCAAGCCCTTGAAAGCCAACCATTTTATGATCTCAGAAGATTAAACTGTATCTTAAATTTGACATGTAACAGGGCTTGAATTCAAATGTGACAGATGAAGGTCTCTACTGGGCCTTCTTCTTGCAAAGAATGATGACCCACACCTTTAGTTTTTTAAAATCCTCTTTGGACTGTAGGAAAGGGAGATGGGAACACAGTAGCATTGTTTTGGCCTGCCTGAAGAGAAGATGCCCAAGGAGATATGAAGGTTGCTGCACAAGCCAGTGCAAGTCCTGTGTGGAGCAACAATTAATCCAGGGTGATTTGTGAATCTCTGGGAGGCAGGATTCTTTGGAAAGTCTTCTACTTTGGAGTAACTGGTTGTATTCCCAACTTCCAGGATTCCTAAAACTCCCATGGCCATGAGGGGAAGAAAGTGGTAAAGCCATCTGTATAACTGAAAGACAATTTTTCTTCCAGGCAAGAAGACAGATCTTAATGTCTCCATGCCTTTCAAGATTATTTCTTGCCAAATGTTCAACAAAAAAGGGAATAAAGTAAAATGTTTTGTACTGTGGCAATAGAAGGGCTAACCTGATCCCTTCAAGCCTTGCACTAGGAATTTACTGCACCTTTTCTGGCACGTTTTCACGTATGACAATGAACTGTATATTAAGAAATTTCACCCTGTACTCTGTTTGCTATACATACATTATTAATGAAATGTCTATCAGAGAATATAGAAAGCCAACTATAACTACTTATGTCCATTGGTGAAGTTCATGTTCTTCTAGTACTGATCAGTGCTGTAAAGAATTACCACTTTGTGGAGAAAACCACCTGCCTCAGATCCTGCTTCTCTGTGGCCAGTACAATATGAAGAATGTAACAGGATTGGCACTTTCCTTTCTCTCCTTCACATTTATGAACTTAGGAAGATGCCTGCTTCTTCTCTTTGCTGAGAGAGACTTCTTACATCAGTGGAAGAAAATAAAAGAAGCCTTGTGTCATGGTTTGACACTGGCCTAATGCCAGGCACCCACAAGAGTTGCTCAGTGACCCTTCCCTGCTATAGCTGCGCAGCAGAGGAAAAAGGAAGAAAAATTAACAAAGGGTTCATGAATGAGATAAGGGTCAAGAGAAAATGCTTCAAGGGCAAAACAGGCTCAACTTAAGGTTGCAAAGTGAAATTTATTACTAATAGAATCAGAGGAGGCTAATGAGAAGTAAAATAAGCCCTTAAAACACCTTTTTCCACCCAGACACTCCCTCCTTCCCACCAACAGTGCAGGGAGACAGGGCATGGGAGTTTTGATCAGTTCATCATTAAAATTTTCTTCCACTGCTTAGGGAGAGGAGCCCTTCTCCTGTGAGTCCATGGGGTCCCTCCTGTGAGACACTGTGAACTTCTCCAGCATGGGTCCACTCTTATAAGCAGCAGCCAAACCACACCTGCTGCAACCTGAGTCCCTCCCACAGGCAGACAGTCTCCCAAACTGCTGTGGCATGGTGACTCTTCCACAGGGTGCAGTTCTCCAAGGATTGACTGCTCCAGCCTGGAAGCAGGGCCCCCTCTCTCCATAGAGTCTCCCACTGGACCACAGCCTCCTCCAGGCATCCACCCACTCCAGCATGGGCAGCTCCCCCACGGGCTGTGGGTGGATCTCTGCATCCCCTGTGGATCCCCATGGGCTGCAGGGGCACAGCTGCTTCACCCTGGTCTCACCACGGCCTGCAGAGGAATCTCGGCCCCAGTGCCTGGAGCACCTCCTGCCCTTCTTTCCCTCACATGTTCTCTCCTCCTCTTCTCTGACTAGAAGCAAAACTGTGCCCACTTTGTTCTGATTTTCTTCTTAAATATATCATCACAGAGGCATTACCAACCTCATTCCTTGGCCCAGTTTTGGCCAGCAGCATGTCCATCTTCAGAGCCATCAGGGATTGCTCTGCCAGACATGGTGGAAGCTTCTGGCAGCTTCTTCCAGGAGCCACCTCTGTGGCCCCTCTGCTACCAAAAACCAAGCTGTGCAAAAGCAATACACCATGCTCTTCTCAGGATGTTTCCTATGATAGCTATAATGATAATTCTCAGGAAGCCTGATCAATAAGCAGAATCCTAAGACCTTTAAAAGTCCAGCCTACTATGTACCTTGTGTCTATAAGTATGGAAAATCACGTATTTAAACAGTTCAGAGGAAACAACAATACTGCTGTCAACTCCTGAAATGTTAAGCTAATTAGCATTCATTCTCCACCAACTAGGAAAAACAAGCAAACAAAACGACCCATGAGCTGATGATTTTTTGCTTTGGCTACAGAAGCAATATACAGGACTGAAGAGAGAGTGAGAGGCCTTGTAGAAATTGATTACACAGCACAAGTGAGAACACAGCTGCAAGAGTCTTCCATGCTTACACAAGAAGAGTTCTCCATCTCCCCATAAGTGTAAGGGACAAAAATATCCTACCTCTTGAAAAGCAAGTTAACACTTATGTGCTAAATCAGGAGGGATTAGAAGTATAACATTAGAAAATTTAAAGCCATCAGAATTTTTTGACATTCTGTGCCAAGAACAGCACTGAAAATCAATATGAAGAGAAACATGTAACTCCATACCAGGATGAAGAACAACTAGCTAAGGCAAGCATTTTAAGGAAGTCTGAAGGCAGGGTTCTGAAGGCTACCTCCTAGGGTTTTTCAAGGAAAAGTACCTTAACAATATCAGTGCCAGTCCCTGAAGCACTTAATTTGAAGATAAGCAAGAGCAACAAACAACTAACATCAGTGATGAAGGTTCTTCCTTCTTACCCTGGATGTGAAAGGCATTTGGCTGAACAGAAGGGCTTTCTGCTGGTTGGTACATCTTCAAAGGCATCCCCGCAAGCTGTGGAAGCTGAGGAGGTTGTGGAGTCTGTCTCTGCATCATGGAATGTTGAACGGTCATTCTCTGGGGGCTGATGTGATGAGAAGGAGCTGGAGCAACAAACCTAGAAGTTCAAAACCACAAAACTGTAAGATCTCCAACACATAAGAGCTAAAGATTGTTTTTACTTTATTTAGATCACTTTAGTTATTTACACAGATACAGACTTCTAAAATAAGAGTGTGCAGCCCAAAGAGAGGTAACATATTTTAAATGGTGACGTATCATTAGACTTGACATGTGGGAAAATAGCAGGCTGAATTGCCCCTTATCATGGAAAACTACTTTTAATCCACTCCTTCTGTGTGTGTGCCTAAGCCATAAATGGAGGAGATGCCTCAAGGGGGACTTGACTTTGGAGCCACTGCCAGCTCTTTATCATAAGCCTTTGTATCAACTTTATTTATCAATGAAGATCTGTTCTTGCTCACTGACAGTGAGAGATCAGTTCAAGTCATTGGCCACTGAGGTGTGAGGTGTTAGGTATTAGGTTCAGGCCCAGGTTTCAGGCTCTAGAAATCTTCGTATGTTACATAGAGCTATTTGAAAATAAACAATCTGATGTCAATATAATGCAGGTAAGGGCAAGTGTTAAAATGCTTCCAGAATCTGACTACATCAACATCTTGATCTGGGCTTAAACTATAAACTTACAAGACTGGCAGAGGAGAGAATGCTTGAGAACAAATCTGGTGTTGCATCTGCCACAGGGGTTCATCACCTCAGGAGGATGTTTTGCACAGCTCTGGCACTACTGGCACTACAAGGATATGCACTATTTTTGAAGATTTTACACAAGATTTTTATAGAATTTAACTTTTTACTGAATTTTTTCAGCATTTCCTTAAAACTGCATACCTCAAAGTATTACAGATAGGTCATGCAATCTTTTTTGCAGAGAGAAAGCTAGGATATTAAAAGCTTCTGTTTGTGCCCCAAACCACCCAACAGACTGATGGGATCCAGCTGGTTCATGAAAGCTCAGGAATGGCTCTGGGCCACATTTTCGTCAATGAGAGGACAGCTGGAAACATTCCCAAACACCAAAAAAACCATGATATTCCCGCAAGAAGGTGAGTGAAAAGTGGCATGTCAAGTCTTGCTGCAGATCAGCCTGTCTCTCCACCACTAAAAATAAGCTGTGAGTCTGCTGAGGAGGAATACCCTTCTCTCTACCCAGCTCAGTGGCTGCTAGGAGGGATCAGTGCCTGCAGTTAACACAGTCTGCCAGTGTTCCAGTCTGTTGCCAGGATCTGGTCCCTGTTGTCCTGAGACTGGACCTCAATATACTAGATTACTTTTTTTTAACCTAATAAAAAAGCATGTTTTTCCTAAAAAAGTGTCAAGGAAGTTTTTATCACACCCTGAAGACAACAGAAGGTGTAACTCCAGTAGCAGCTCTACAGAACACCTCTGGGCAGGATCTAACTGTATTTAAATACAAGTCACTTGAGATCTTTCATGCTGCAGCTAAGAACTGTATCAGCCACATGTTATCTCTATGTGATTTTTACTTCATTTGAAATGTATTTACTACATTTCTGGTGAATCATAATCTACATTTAGAGTGTAACAAGTATCAAGATGAACTTTAGATGATGTACTGCCTATTCAGTTTTCTGTGAGAAGCACATTTTTAAAGCATATTAGGTAGGGTTTGGATGGTCCTGCTGTTAATGTGATATTAACTTCATAAATATATTACTTCAGAAATGCTACATGGGTGGAGGAAATAAAGATGTTACTACCGAACCCCTGAGTCTTTAATGTGTCAAATATTTAATTGTTCCAGATAACTGATACAGAGTAGACTGAAAGACATACCAGGGAGGAAGAGAACAAAGCATGCACATATTTCACAATAATACTATTGTACAAATTTTTTTTAGAAATAGAAATTAGTAGTTATATTGTGATAAAAATATCAGAGATTTTTAAAAGTGCTGTAACTACCTGCTTATATGTCTCCTGAGTAATAACTGGAGTTAGATTTTTGTATAGGAGTCACATAGAAAGACTGTTATCTCCTGCCAGAGACTGAGAGCCAAGCACAGACAGTCTTTAAATACTATGATTATTTTTAACATAATGGAATATAATCCGTTGTGTTTTCAGGATTAATTTGGGAAAATTAATTTCTGAAAAATTATTTTAACCAGTAGCCACTAATGGGAAAAATCCTTTGCAAAACTAAAAGTGGAAAGCACAATTTTACAGATTTACCTTTGATTTAACATCCAAAAAACTTCCTCCCAATAATAATACACTATATTTTACAGCCAGACAGGACTCCTTTTTAGTACACATAAGTGCTTTTATAATTATTTATAAATCAACCTGGCTTACCCATATCCACGACTATAGTTATCTACTTTTTCTTTCCTTCCGCTTAACAAAAGAGAAATTTGTACTTGTCACAGCCCAGATTTGTCTCTGAACAAATCTCATTATATTCCTGGGAGAACACCTAATTTAATTTTGTTCCTGAAACACTCAGGACCAGCTTGTAACCACTTGGAAACTGCAATCAAGAACTACAGTCAGGCCCAGGTGTCAATTCAATCAGGAACCAGTCAGATTTGCAGAAAGTTCCTCTATCCTATGCCTGATCAAAAATCCAAGCAGAAATGTTTCTGAAGCCATTAATTTTTTTCTTTTCCAGTTTTAGCAGTGAAAAAGCATCTTGCTGGGCAATGACTAGATTTGGTAGTAAGCAAGATGGATGATAAAGGTACCAAAGCTTACCTGTTTTGCTGAGATTAGTTAAAATACCACGTACAATGCCACATGCTTTACTGGAGCTAGCACAGTAAACAGTCACTACAACTACATGCACAACGCAAGAAATGTGTGGAAAAAGAAGGGAAGAGGAAATCTAAGAGTCACAATATAGAGTATAAATTGTGTATTTATATAGTGCTTTAATTTAGTTAATTTCATCATGGTTGGCCATCTACAAATAAATCCTTTTTCGAGTGGGGAAACCACCTCTTCTGTCTCTGTAGCCATAATATATATAAGATGTTTTTTCACCTAGAAACCCAAGTGCTTTGCAACTCCTCGATTCATTTCACTGCAACTGAGTATTTTTTAAATTTTTTAAATATTTTTCTCTATATATTGAAAGAAAGGAAACTGCACCTGCATATAAAAGACATAATTTGCCTTCCATTAATCCATGCTACACTATGGCACAAAATGCTACTAACATTAAATATTTGAGACAGCAACTATGTAACTGTGTTGGATGTAGTTCTGTCTTCATTCTTCTTTTTTTTTTTTTTTTCCTCAACTTTGCAATGTAAATTAAAGCATATGCCACCACTCAGACAAAATGAATCCTTATGGTTGCTACAGATATGTTGCTGACGTGGAAATTGAACATTAAAGCTGAAAACCCTGTTTTTCTTTTTTTTTTCCTTCAGAGGCCATAGTTTTCTTTGAACAACTTGTAAACACAATTTATTGACTTGCTGCTCTTTTAATTGGCTGAGTCCTTTTTGCTGAGCTTCAGCAGTTTGGGAACATATCCAGATGTTATGCAGTTCACACAGTAAGGTGATCAGGCTTTCATCTCACTGAGCTGAATGTTTGGCTGGACAGAGGACTGAACTACAAGCTCCCTGTAAGAGGTTGCTGTGTCCAACACTGTCCTGTGCAGTGCTGCGCTTTCTGACAAGGTTAAATTAAGAAAAATCCATGATCATTCCTTCCCGAGTGCCTTTTTATTTCTAGGAAAATCCAGAAAATCTGGGATGATGTCTCCATTCTCTGCTCTGACATTCTTTCTGTGAATTCACATTCTTTGAACTCACACTTTACGCTGTGTCTTAGTGTCTTTACAGATCCTCAGTCTGCTGTCAGTGAAGGAAACATTCTGTTGCAACCCAGCATGGTGAAACCCAGCATATTGCACCATAAGTTAATCTGGCTACCTATCAGTGACAATCAAATAAACCTGCTTTAAAAACACATTTAAGGAAAGCATACCTTTTGCCAGGAACAAAATTGAAAAAATAAGATGTTTTCCCCAAAGTGATGAATATATTCCTTTGACCAAAATAACAAAAGCCTAATTTTTTACCTACCTATGATGCATGTTTCTCTCCAATGATTTCTCTGCTACAAGTTTTGTGAGTGTTTTCGTTTCAGAGGTTTTTGTTTGTTTGTTTTAGTTTGGTTTTTGGGTTTTTTGTTGTTGTTGTCATTCTTGTATTTTTCATTTTTTTTTAAGGAATGCAATCTTCTTGCATAACAGAAATATTTTCGGCAAGAAAACGAATATCTAGCTGAGAGAAGGGATGGCAGAAAGAACAAACAAACTCTCTGACCAGTACCTCATCTTCTCTCTGGTGAGAAGATGAAAGAAGAATTTAAGCGGAATTTAAACTGGAATTTAAGGAAGGGAGCTGTGACCAGGCACCTCTATATATTCATATTAGTGCAGCACTCAAAATTAGTATCAAAAAGCTGGGACAGACAAAGTGTAAATCTGTACATTTATTATTTATGCTCTCTCCTTTGACAAATGAAGTGATTTCTTAGATTCAAACTCTCTAACTGCCTTACACTATGTGTTCTCAGAGTGTTGTACACATAATGAATGCAATGTGAGATGTGTTCCATGTTTGGCTCAGTTTCTCACCTTAATAAGGCTTAATCAAGTCCACACTTTCCCTCCCACCACCTAGAAGAGATAGATTTAAAAGAAACCCTCCCATTATTTCTCTATCCCATGGCATGTGGAAATGTAGGGAAAATGCTCATTTCCTTCTGCTCCTGTCTCTAGTAAAACTGAATCTGCTGTCCAAAAGTGGCACAAGTTGGCCCCCAGCATCAAAAAACAGCCAGGCCAGTTTGAATCAGCTTCAGTCTAACAAATACAGCCTTCTGCTGCAATAAGTGCTGGTCAGCCTGTCCTAGCTCTAAAGTGACCCTGGGCATGCACAGTGTGTCAGCAACTACACAGCACAGAACCACAGAACAGTTTGGGTTGGAAGGGACCTTCAAAGGGCACCTAGTCTGACCCGTACTAGCATGAGGGGCAACA